ATACATACATACATACATACATACAGTTCAGCCCCGCATCATGGCCCAAAGTCCAGCTAGATGGGGACTCAAAATGAAATAATACTGCACGCTCAATTCTAACATAAAGCATTAAATACACACACACACACACGCACGCACACACACACACACACACACACACACACACACACACACACACACACACACACACACACACGGCCTGGTTTTAATTTGAACTCCTGTCTCGAAAATTCGGTGTCTGAAAAATCTTTTTTTAAAAACAACATCATATAAGAGGAAAATGTGCATACAGACATTTTTCATTCTGTGCAATCCAATGGGTCCTGTGGAAATGTTATAAAACCGTATGTGTAGTGCGTTATTGTGGTTTCAAAAAGATGGAATGTATATCTCAAAGTCGTTATCATATATCGTGCAATTAATATTAAAGAATAAAGAAATAAGTGAAATTATATTGTTAAAATGTGTGTGGTTTTATGTAAAGCGAAAAACGATCCGAACATGTTTTTTTTCCCTCTAAAATAAAAGACAGAAAATGCTGGATAATCGCATTTATGTTTATATATATATAAATAAATTTATTTAGTTTTTTTAATTGCTGCTGAAAATCCGATTACAATTTCTGCTGTATTCATTCTTGGCCTGCTGTGTGAGTAGAGACATTCAGAGCATGTGTGTTTTCCAATGGGCCTCACATTCCTGCATGCTCACAGTAAAATATAAAGCATCTCACCACATTTTCTGCTGCAGGCGTGCATCAGGCCTTATGGCCGACCTGTTCATCCACTCTGTTGATTTCCTCCTGCTCGGGCAACATCTGTACAAACTATTTATTTGTGAGCGGCCTCATCTCAGACTGAAACAGCCAGCTGGCAGGAACACACGGATTTACCTTAAAGCGCAGTCCACCCAAACCACGCTCAGTTTTAACGGCCGACTCACATACAATAAAACTGCTAAAAAAAAAAAAAAAAACAGTAATGAAATAATATTCACAGCTTCAAACTGCTAGTGATGCTGCATGATAGTCACGACAAAACAGCTTTAATAATTTGGGTAAATGCGAAATAAAAAAGCTTATCTAAACTGAAATAACACCATTTCCTTCAAAGCATCAATAGTAAGTATTTTATATCCACCGCCAAGAGTGAGACATTATGTAATATGCATAAATCAATGCATTTAAAGCCCCTACAGGCATTGAAATTTATTAATTAAAGCAACGAATTTTGGTGTAAGAACAAGTCCTGAGACGATTTTTCTCCCCTTATCAAGTTTTTACTACATATCACCATGCCTGGGGAGCCCCCTAGTGGATAGGAAAGTTAATAAAACATTTAGGCCTACTGACTGGAAAACGTAGACTTGAATCTAATCAAATGATTTTAATTAATCTCTTCATATAATACATACATTTTTCCCTGACATTTTGCTTCCAATATATGATTGAATAGTTGACATTTGCAGACTTATTTCATAGCTTTATTGTTATAATAACAGCATTTCCATTAGAAGTCCAATTAGGCATTCTATAACAATAGAATACTCACCACTGTCCCTGGTCAACCCATATTTCTTTATTTCAAAAACACAATTCATGCTATTTAATCCCTTCCAAGTCATTTTTATCCCAGTGTCTGCTTTAAAAAAAACAAAAAACACACACATTAACACTATTTGGATAATCTCGGTGAGGAACTCCTAGAACAGGTGTTCATACTTTATCCCATGATACAACTTCGAAACGTAAAGCAGCTTTTAAATAGCCTGACTATAAGCTGTTAACATATGAAAGTAACATTTTATCATTTATATACTCATATTCGTGGGGAAACTCATTACATTCAGGATACAAGTAATTTAAGAAAAAACAACCCAGCAAAAACTATTACTTTCTTTACAGTTTAAAATTTTATTGTACTAGCAGAAAATCATTTTCAATTCACTAAACCTGTAACAAGATCCCAGTGCTAGTGGTTTTCTGGCACCCTCTGCTGATGTTCCACCACTAGAGGCTGCTGATAAAACAGTAAATTGATGGAATCCTCTCACTTATTCAGCTTAGTGCAAAGTCCGTTTTACTAAATACTTTAACAATTCAGGTTTGAAATGCAAACACAACAAACAAGAATAAACACATATAGGTTAACTTCAAAGTGACATATTTGATGAATGGTCATTTTTATTTCAAGTAATGGCATTTTAGAAAAGCTCGATAAAATATTCATAATTATGCAAAAACGGTAAAATATTTACAAGCAAGATGATGCCATTGGTAAAACAGGAAAGAAATTAAAAGAAAACACATAACCAAGTGGCTCAAGATGTCTGCAGACAGAAAACATCCATGTGAAGGGATTTTGTAGTCCAACTAGCAGTAGAAGCAGATTCAGCTGCACATCGGTGTTCGGGTTGCATACCTGTGTACAGCCTGCATTCTGCAATACTCCACACTCTCATGTACAGCCCTCAGACGCTGAGTGGAGAACATCACTGACTGAGCTCTTCGTTATTCAAAGTTATTGGCTTCTTGGTCGAGTTCTGGACCACCCAGGGGTGGGAGAGCACGCCCTCAATGGGCAGTCTGTGCATGGGATTGTGTTTCAGCAGCCTGGCAACCAAGTCTTTAGCTCCAGCACTGATATTGGTCTGTGCAGGGTAAGTGTACTCCACCTGGATGATAAAGACAGAAAATACAAACAAAGATTTAGGCAATGCTCCGAATCACATACTTAGTCTTTTTATTTGAAGTACTACAGGTTCCCTTCCAAAATGCGTACCGTTTCATGCATACAACTGGGAACAAATGCTTTGTCATAATATTGTACTTTCCGCATAAAGTTGTCAGAGTCTGTAGTGTGAAATGAGCTTTCATATGTCTGTGCACTTTCAGCAAATCAAACTTGTTTAGAATAGAATAGAATAGAATAGACTTCATCCCAGACCTGAGAAATTATTGTAAACAGCAGCATCCAAAAACATAGAAAGTACAAGAAAATAGCAATAATTCAGTAATATGCATCCTATTGTCCGCACACAGCAGGTTCAAGGCCCCACCGTCTCCGGTTGGGCAGTCCACATGCTGGCTGAACGTGGGGAGAGTGGTAGAGAGAGATGTATGGTTAAAGTCTCCTGAGATGACAATCAGAGACTGAGGGTGTGATGTTTGCAGCTGGGACACTGAACTATGGATGAGTTCACAGGCTGCAGTAGCATCAGTCGAGGGGGCGATGTAAACTATAATTGCCAGGATGCACGAAAACTCCCATGGCAGGTAAAACGGCCGCAAACCAACCGCCAGCAGTTCAACATCCTTCGTGTAGCTCCGCTCTTTAACGCTAACATGCTAGCATTACACCATCTCTCACTCACATACATGGCGAGTCCTCCGTCTTTCTTTTATACCTTCAAGAGACCATGACTTAGCAATGTGGATAATTTTGAGTCAGATTGGCCAGAAAAGCGTGCTGGTGGCATACGGCAAAATCAGACTGGACATTGTTTTTGCAGATTACAAAAATTGTTTTTGCATACTACTTTTGACATACCACAATAAATATTTTCCTGGCATTGTATGTAGCGTAGCAGTATATCTATTGGAACGAGAAAGAAAGTACTGCAGGCCTATAAACTCTAATAGGATGAAAAGAGCAGTTAGACATTAGCTAATACAATATATGCTTGTTGTCATGGTGTCGTACCCTTGAAATCCTGCGGTAGGTTTCCTCGTGAGTTTTTGCTTCAAAGGGGGGTTTTCCAACCAGAAATTCAAAACAAAGGACACCAAGACTCCACAGGTCCACCTTTTCATCATGAGTTTTCCCCTCAATCATCTCTGGAGGTAAGTAGTCAAGAGTTCCACACAGAGTGGATCTCCTAAATAAGGAAAGAAATGGTCAAAATAAGTCATTTTGTCCTAAGACCAATGTGGAAAAAAACAAACATGCATCTGCAGACATCACAAAATTTTGAATACTGCAAAACCTGAGCAGAATTTGCAACCAAACAAGGAAACTGAAGTTGCAACCCAAAATCTTTTTCTCTCAATATTAGAATAATTTCACCAAAAATATTCTACAAAGCACAACACTTTTTACAAAGTGAAAAAAAAAACAAGCAAATGAAAACAAAAAAAAAAAGGTGCATTGAAAGCATATGTGCTTACCTTGAGGAAGGGGTGTGAACAGACCAGCCAAAATCCGCAATCTTTAGCTCACCGTTGGCCCCCAGCAACAGGTTCTCTGGCTTGATGTCTCTGTGGATCACCTTCTTGCTGTGGCAATAATTGAGGGCATCTGCCAGTTCCATGATGTACTATTACAGCACAAAAACCATAGATCACAGTCAGTACAACACACACCACAGTTATGTCAATATCCTCTTAGTTTTACGTCTTTCAAGGAAAGATGTTGAACATCAGTCTCTTTGCGGAAAATGTGTCCACTTACATTCATTTTAGGTATCAAACTGGCACACTTACTGTAGCACTTTGGCTCTCTGGAAAATTTCCACTGCGTTGCAGCTCACTGTACAGCTCTCCTTTGGGTGCAAACTCAAGGATGAGATACACGCGAGACGTGTCATGGAAGTACCCATAGAGGCGCAAGATATTAGGATGCCTGTAGAACGCCAATGCAGAAGACTGTTGTCAGAAATCTAGGTGACATACCCAACAGATACTTCAAAAGAGCAACAACTGCCAAACAAAATGAGGATTTACATTGTAATGTGTGTGTGTTTTTTTTTTTAAAACACAGCAAAATGCTATCACTGCAGCATGTACTTTCAAAACTAAGGTAAAATCTTGCAGTATCAGGAACAACATTTTCAGTAAGTGGCAGGGGCCAAACAGGTTTCACCTCAATACATAAAAAAAAAAAAAAAACATTATAGAAACATGAACTGCTCACATGTGATTTAAAAAAAAAAACACCTAAAAAACATGTAGCTAGTTAACAAGAAACACTTTAACTGGCTACTCAAGTATGTTGTCTTGGCCTTGCTGCTTTGCAAACATGCCAGCATGGCTTGCCCACACTTAAGAGGCTTTACACAATCACGTCCGTTATACATGAAGTAAAATGTATGTATGGGATTATGTGAGGCTAACAAAGCTACATTAAACTGGGGCTTCAATTCATACAAGACTGTCACAGGTTAAACTACATGACATCTGCATTTACACAGACCTGAGTCTAAAGTTGTACTGTATTCCCATTAAACCAAAATTTCAGACTTGTATAATTACCAACATTTATTTATCCATTTTTTAAATCACCTTTTTTTTTTTAAAAGCCAAGTCAGAAGAAGTTAAAAAAAAAAAAAAGAACTTTAGCATGAAATCTATATGACAATGTCACTGTCCTGGACAATGTTTATACTATCAGTTTTTTTCTATTACGCAGGTTGCTGTGACCTTCCAGGACTTTCTTTTTCTCCCATCTTCAGCTAAATACCAATTGCGGTTTATCTCTCACACACACACACGTTTATATGTATAGCTAGGTAAATCTAATTCAGTATAAAACATCCCTGCAATAATCCTAATTTTTGTATAACATGTTGCATTGAATCGTTTGTTTCAACTGTATGGTAATTATAGGTAGATAGCATGCATTTCTGTCCATCTCCATAACATCAAATGAAGGATGCTTTCGTTATTGAGAATACCCTCAACTGATATAAATACGGTTGCTGTAAATAATAGAAACATTCACTTGTGTAATAGTACAATTCAGGAGCAACAAAACCACATCCTGTTGACATCCAGCTTTGTACTACCCAACATTAACCAAGTTTGTCTTGTTATTTAAAATTGGGTAGGCAACAATTCAAGTCTCATATAGCTCTTTGAAATCTAATATACTCTAAACGACACGTTACCTGAGGTGAGACTGGATTTCCACTTCTCTCCTCAGCTGGTGCTCCACACCGGCCTTCTCCAGCTGCTTCTTGAAAAGCACCTTCAGGGCCAAGATGAACTTAGACTGTCGCTCTCTGGCCAGGTAGACATTTCCAAACTTACCCTTTCCTAAGGGACGGCCAATGTCAAAATTTTCCAGGCTCCATGGCTTTCTGTGTGAGCACAGTGGCACACAGTTAAAAACAATGGCAACGTTAACTAATATCTCACAGAATCATTTATGAATAGTACAGAAAATCCACTCAGGCATACTTTGATGAAGAGGCGTTTGCAGCATCATTCTTGGCTGGTTTATCTAACAAAAAAAAAAAAAAGGACATATTTTAGCAGCTATAAACAAACACTATTAATTAGTTTGTCCAGTATAGTATTATGCTTACTCTGTGGCTTCTCCAGCTTTGCCGATTCTGATGCTGGTGTGGTCAACTCTGGTTTCACTGTTGGCACATGTGTCTTTGGCTGGTTTTGCTGGGAACCGGATTTGGGCTGTGGTGCAGGATTTACATTCTGAGTAGCAGGGTTCGCGTTCTGATCAGCAGTGTGTGTGGACTTGGCAGCAACAGAGACATGAGATACTGGTTTCTGATGGCTCACAGGCCGCTGAATGCGCTGAGGTCCATTTGACACACCGAGGACTCGCTGATACTGAGTTGGGGTGACTACAGACTTCTGAATCAACTGTTGTGACACAGGAATCCGTTTTGGCCCATTGCCATGTGACTGCAATAAAACAAAATCACCAAAAACTTAATAAACTGGCTTTTAGGGGTATTTTTGATTGTTTTTTCACAAGCTGGATCAGTACTTGAGACGAAAACTTTTAAAACTTGGCACATCATTTCTGTCATTGCAGCTGTATTGACTTTCTCATGTATTATTCTTAGCTGTAGGAGGGAGATTCGGCCTCTTTGTTCACATGTACATGTCCACTCTCTAAGTTATGTGTCTAATTATATCCATTTCACCTGTAAAATGCCCAAAATTCCACGTGATGAGCACTTGAAATAAACAAAATCTAAAAGCTAAACACAAAGATGTTTCAAAAGAAAAGGGGAAAATAGGCTCAGAAACGGCATCCCAAGGCCTGACAAAGGTGACTTCATACTGAATACATCAGCATTATGTTAATACATGGCATTACCTTTACTTCAGGCCTTTGAGGTTTTGTGTCCTTTGGTATCTTGACAGAGTCCATACCCTGACGGGAAACGTAAGGAGAAAGAGGTTTTTAATCAAACAAATCCCACTTAAAGGAACTCAGAAGCTGAAAAATAGGCCTGAATAAACACGTAAAATCTAACATTTATTCAACACTTGTAGTCTATCGGATTTCCTCTGGCTAAATCGACGCATCACTAAAACAATTTTGTTGGTAGCGTCATCGGTTTTACTAAAACATTAATTGCGTATCATTGATTTGTTCTTGTATTATCTAAAAGACAAACATCTTTTTTAAAAACAACAACAAAAAAAAGAGCACTAAAAAGTAGACAGTTGTAATAGAAGTAAACGTTATCCATCGTATCCTCTCGTGGTTAAACTAAAGTTTATAGACAACGGCTAATGTTAGCTTGGAAACCAACTCAACACATCCCACGCAACACTCCCTAAATACGTAGTTGTAAGGTAGCATAACTTACCTTAATATATGATTGCACAATGACGGAGAACAACTACTGTCCGATAATTTATCACAATTTTATCAGGTCGAAAGCAGCTCTCAAGCAGCTAACGTTACCCCAGCTAGCTAACAGCTACGTCGGTCAACTGACGCTGATAGTCGTAACTAGCTATATACATAAGGATCATCCACGGGAACGTTACGAAGAGATTACTTTTTCCACGAAGCTATTGCCGCGCCAGTTCTTTCGGTGTTGCACAAAGGTCAATATAGCTGAAAATGAAACAATTTAAGACACACAGACGTGCGAGTTCCGACTTTAAATGTAAGTGGCTAACACTCTCCCTAAACCGGCCTGTTTGATTTCAAACGTCCCTCTGTTCACAACCTTTAAACACACCGCGGGCTCCAATTGGTTGAGCGAATGCTCTGTTCTTGCGCTGTATTGGCTGATACGCCATACGGGTATGACGTCAGAGGAAATCCTCCAAAACAGTAGAGGGCGGCGCATGCTCTCTACCGACCTGTAAACTGCACATTAACTTTTCTTAAAACTGAAATCATATCAGGAATATTACATCACGTTAATATAATTCCAACATCAATAAATCACTGCTTTTAATAACACATCAATCTTTGAGCATATAGTCTTTTCCTTGTACTGTGTGAATTAATATTTTCTTTCTACTGTCTTTTCAAACATGTATTCAGGTTGTTTTATGTTTTACATTTTTAACTATGTAGCTTTCTTTCTTTCTTTTTGCTTTATTGTCTCTATGTGTAGAGCCAAACAAGACTGGAGACCTGTCCAGGGTGTCCCCTGCCTTCACCCTCAGTCAGCTGGGACCCGCAACCCTATTGAAGATTAAGCATTGTATATAATGAATGGATGAATGGATCACAACTAAACATATGGCAATTTCTTGATACAAGTTAAATAGAAGGAAACACATCCAGGTGAACATTATGAAGTCCCTCTCTGGTCATTCATTTAACCCCTAAAAACTAATCTCTGTGCATCTCTCAAATTTAGATAATTTTAATATTAAAATTACACCTACCTGCTTTAAATGGCTTAGATGTAACTTTAAACTGTAGTATCGTCTGGAATGTGCAGATATAGTCCCTGTCTCTCTCCACTCACTGTAGCTTGAGCAAACCAGCTCACCTGCAACTCTACTCAAACATTGGAAACTAATCTACACTTAGGGGCAAGTTGTAATGTTGGAGTGATTCAGTCATACATGTTCTAACCGGAAAACATTTTTGAAAACAGCGTAATCATATGGAAAACTCCATACTGCAAGTTTGAAAGCTTGTTCACTTAGGTTGGTTTTGTAGTAAATTCCAGAAGTCTGAATGTCTATTTTTCAGATGGTCATTAGTACACTGTGACCTGTCCAGGGTGTCCCCTGCCTTCGCCCTAAGTCAGCTGGGATAGGCTCCAGCCCCCCCGCGACCCCAGTGAGGATTAAGCGGAGTATAGATAGTGGATGGATGGATTAGTACACTTCTGTTTCAAGATGAAAATGCTCAGCCATGGTGTTGACTGCATATTCTGCTCATTATGTGTCTCCCACCACATAAAATACACCATATGGACATGTTCATAGGCAAAAGCCTTGATTTTCACTGGATGGATGAACTTCTGCTTTACAGAATCCAAATTAAATTTAAAACTTGGGCTGAATATTCAACTGGACAAGTTGCGCATAGGTGATCACTCAGTGAGATAAAATATAACATGGATATTTATTTTCAGCTTTAAATATAGACTGCTGAGATAACATCACAATACTTTGGCTAAAACTGTAAGAATAAAAAAGCAATTAAACAACAGAGGAAAAACATTTTAGGAGCCAGCTGTTGTGTAAAATCCATTAGTACTTCACTTCTTTGTGTCCACTGCATCATAAAGCTTCACCACTCTAAGTGGCTGAACCATCAATAAGTCTCTTTACTTAAAGAGGAAAATGATTTGTGGTTTTTCTTTTACAACACAATGAAATGTAATGGTGTTGCAAATTTCACATCTCACAAGAGCCTTTGTGTTGTTCGATGAAGAAATTGTCCTCATATATTGTTCAAGCTCTTTTTTCAGCAAAAAGAATTCAGGCTTTGTGTTGTTAAATTTGCTCTTGTGTATGTGAAATTTAGCAATAAATAAAAACATATTTATAAAGAAGAAAGCGCCATCACTGCTATCATTAGGATTGTGTAAACCAAAAATAACATTCATATAGCAAAGGTGAAAATCAGAATAGACAAAATCAGTGATGAATTTATCAAAGTCCCCCCAGAATTTGCAAGTAACATCACATGACCAAAATAAGTGAGTATCTGTTTCTGGTAGCAATTGGCAGAAAGAGCAACTAACATCTATATCAGTCTTGAACTTTGACAAATACTTTTTCGTAGGGTAAAATCTGTGTATCAGTTTAAAGGAGATCTCTTTAACTCTATTTGTCAGAAGAAATTTTTGAGGTAGTGTCCAAACCTTTTTCCACTCTATGTCAGACACAAAGTTGGCCCAATAAAACGTGGCCGGAGGTACAAAGAGCAGGGCATCTTGAAACATAGACCGTATCTTGAGATTCAGAAATTTACCAGATGAGAAGCAAATACTACCAAGAGAAGACTGTCACACATCAGGAGGGTTGAAAGATAAGGGGGGAAGAACCATGAGAGCATCGGAATAACATGCGCAGACCAGATGGGACAGCATCAAATACCACTGAAAATTCTCTGGCCGTTTTTGGAACATTATATCTCCTAAGAAATTCAGAGTAATTATACAATAAACCATCTCCCTTAAACAACTGACTAACCAAAATAATTCCATTGTTGAACCAGCTGTCCAAAAATAGTGTTTTGTTTTTATAGACAATATTACAATTATTCCAGATAAAACAACTCTGTGGGGAAAAATTATGTTTCTAAATCAGCATCCATGCCAGAAGAACCTGTTGATGGAAGAGAGAAAGTTTCAGTGGTATTTTTGGAACGCTGTAATTGCAGAGAAGCAGGAAGTTAAGGCCTCCTAAATTTGAAAATATAAAATGTGGGATAAAGTTCCAAATGGATGTGGGGTTTTTCAAATATTTTTTAATCCACTTTATCTTAAAGGTGTTACTAAGGGCACCAAAGTCAATGAAATTTAAACCGCCTTTGTCACAAGGGCTTAAAGTGACCGATTTTCTTAGGTAGTGGGTTTTGTTTTTCCACAAAAAATTGTGCAATGTTTTATTAATTAATTTACAAGTTATGTTATCGACATGCAAAGTCTGAGCAGCAGAGGCGAGACGAGAGATACCTTCTGCTTTTGAAAGCAGGACTCTTCCCTTCAAAGATAAGTCTCTCTGCAGCCAGTGATTCAGGAGTTTCTGGGTTTTATCTATAATAGGAGTAAAGTTTGAAGGACATCTGGATTTTTCATTTTTAGTGATTTGAATACTGAGGTATGTAACGGAGTGTCTCACAGGGATCCCATGAATTGAGGTTGCTAAACAGTCCTTTACAGGTAGCAATTCACATTTGTTAATATTAAGGGAGAGACCGGATGCTTTTGAAAAGGACTGGATACTGCCGAGTGCCACTGATACTTGCGAAGCGTCCCGGAGAAAGAGAGCAGTATCATCTGCCAGCTGACTTATAAAGATCTCTCTGTCAGCAACAACCAGACCTTTTAATGCACTGAGTTTAATATGCGAATTAAGGAGCTGCACAGAAAGAAGAGATAGATACACTGATAGGGGGCAGTCCTGCCTCACTCCACATTTTAAAGAGAATCTTGGGGAGGTGCCGCTAGCAAGTTTTATTAGAACTATTACTATTGGAATATAACGTTTGGACTGCGTTGCAGAAGGACTGACCAAAGCCAAATTTATTTAAGGCAGTAAAAAAAAAAAATTATGCTCCAAGGAATCAAAAGCCTTATAGAAATCAAGAAAAAGAATAAAACTGTCATCTTGCACAAACTCTGGATAATCTATTATATCTAAGACTAATCTGATGTTATCTGAAATATCTGCATTGACTCTCATCAATAACTGTATCTAAAATAGGCTTTACTCTGTTTGCAAGAATGAGTGTGAGAATCTTATAATCATTATTCAAAAGGGAAACTGGTCGCCAGTTATCTAAGAGCAAAGGGTCCTTTCTTGGTTTGGGGATCAGGGTAATTAGTCCCTGGCATAAAGTAGGAGGGAGTGCACCTCTATCAATACTCTCTTTAAAAACTTCCAAAAGAAACGGGGCTAAAATATCAGAGAATTACTTATATAGCTTGGCAGTAAGGCCGTCTGTTCCAGGAGACTTGTTCACTTTTAGGCATTTAATGGCATCTGAGACTTCTTCCAGAGAAATGACTCTGTCGCAGGATTCACTATCAGCTTCACTCAGCTGAGTAACATTATCTAAGGAATTAAAGAAGGTACAGGCAGCTTGAGGACAGTATTTGGAGGAATAAAGTTTAGCATAAAAGTCAGCACAATACTTTGCAATGGTATTCTTATCGTTAGAAATTGTCCCGTTAATATTTAATTTTAGAATAGAATTAGTGTTGGATTGGTGTTTCTCGAGTCTGAAAAAATAAGCCGAGTTCTGTTCACCTTCTTCAAGCCACTTTTTACGAGACCAAACAAATGCTCCTTCAGCTTTGTGTTTATAAATCTCATCAAGCCTGTGCTGTAAGCCATTAGTTCAGTCTTATCAGATTCATTGAGAGTCTCTATTGGTTTGGAAGTGAAGAATGCAATTTTACGTATTACTTCTGTCTCATCAGCTCTTCTTCTCTTTGCCAACTCACTACCATATTTTCTAATAAACTTACCAATTTCATATTTCATTAGCTCCCAGTTGTTACAGAACAAATTCTCAGCTAGAGCTTAGTTCCAATAAAGCTTTATCAAATGCTGAACTTCAGTAATCACTACTTTATGCTCAAGGATAGTGCTGTTAAGTTTCCAGTATGATGCTTTGGTATAGGAGGAGGCTGTTAAAGGGGCAGTTAAATGAATTGCTCTGTGATCAGAAATCGGTGTAGGATGAATGTCTGTTTTAACTTCTCTTACGTTTTTAGAAACAAGCCAATAATCGATGCGCGAGTGTCTGGTCTGCGTCTTGTTACACCAAGTATATGCTCTTTCATCTGGGTGAGAATCCCTCCAAGAATCAGTTAAATTAAATCTTTCTGCAAATAATCTCACATATGAGTTGGAGTCTAGACTCCTAGAAGGCCACCTCTCCTTACTATTGTCAAATACAACATTATAGTGCCCCCCAATATTATAGAAGAATTTGGATATTTAGCCAACGCAAACGCTCTTCCAACCTCTCAAAGTAAAGTTTGTTCT